TCACACAAGACTGCGCTTTTATGATTTAATGTCAGATTTAATTTTATCTTAGTTGGGAAATAAAAATTCCAGGCTAAAGCAGTGCTTGCTGTCTTAAAAGAAAGGCTGTTGTCAGACTTCAGCCCTTGCTAACAGCATGTTTCCAAAATCTGTGTATCTTCCACTGTGTTCTGCATCAGTGCTCCCAGTGAAGTAGACTAGACTGCTTTTATCCGTAATTGCTGTGCCTTTGTGTGTTGTATTTATTTTTTTTGCTATAAATTATATAAGAACTTTAACTGAAGGAATAACTGAAGACCAAGGGGTCCATTTAGCTAAGTATTTTATTTCCAGTAGTGGTCCATAACAGCAAGGGATGGGGACAAGAATATACTTTCTCTGCTGCGTGATGTCAGCCTGCAGTGATTTGTGGCCTTGTCTTGGGCCTGGTGATACTGATTTTGGTAGCAGCTTGAGTTCCATGTTGGGTGTATGTTTTATGGGGAAGTATCACTTTCTGTTTGTTTTGAAGCTGCTGTGTGCAACTTCTAATTGATGATCCCTAGTTATGGCACTGTAATAATTTTTTTTTGTAGGCTTATGCAAAAGGTTCAGTATTAATAGACAAGGAAGTCTTTTTAATTTAAAAAAGTGGGTTTTTTGTTTGTGTTTTTTTTTTTTAAATCTTTTTCCCAGCTTTGCAACAGCAAATTTTGACAAAAAAGTTGAGATGTGACTGAGTTTCTGACTCTCCCCTTTGCTCCTTTGTAATGTTGCTGTTCTCATATATTCGAGAGTGAGATGTGGTAGCTGAAGAAAGCTTCTGGAGTTGTGGTATGCATCTCTTTTTGGCAGGAAAGCCTAAGAAGTCAACAGCAACTGTGATCAGATAGTCATGGGCAGGAACTGCGGCCAGATGGACCTATGAGATGTGATCTTCCATTGCTGCATAAGCTGTCTATTTTCCAGTGCAGAAGAGATCCATCCCCTGGTATACCGCTATGGTGAGGACTGGCCAGATAAGGAGTGATTCAGATTCTGCCCTTCACGCATGTGTAAGTGCTCAGAGCAAATGGGGAACTGGTCATGGATTATGCAGTGCTGCGAGGGGACAGGCAGTCTGTGGTATGCCACAGCTAAATGCACGCCCTTTAATCTGGTCAGAGGACAAATTTACAGTCGAAAGTTTTATTGGTAAGGCAGTAAAATCTATTCAGCATCCTTTAAAGAGTAAAATCTCTTTAAGCATGTCTAGATCTGTTTTGCAGTAAATCCAAAGGCATCTTGTCTTTGAGTGCTGGAAAGCAGTAACTAATAAATGCTAGTGTTCAAACTAAATCTTTGAAGTGGAAGATACCTTTTTTAATTCCAGTAGTTGCAATTTGTTTAAAAAGAAAAATTAAAACCAAACCAACCAACGAAAAAAAACCCACCAACCTACACAAAAAACCAAACCAAAACCCCAAACAGCAGATACAAGTATGTGAGCGGAAAAATCTTTTAGTTTGGCCTTGAGGGTGATACTGTGATTTTGAGGTTTTGGGTTTAAAAAAAAAATAAAAAAAATAAATACTTCTTTCTTCTCTGACATCAAAATGGATAATTCATTATCTTTGTTATTATTATATGAAGCAGCCACTGGGCTGTGTATTTGCTGTAAATGGGATGCGTGTGTCTCTGAGGGATCATGAGTACTCCCCTCCACCCTGCTAGATGTATTTCTCCCATCCTTAGGCTAATAAGGAGAATGATGAATTTACATTATTGCTCCATTTAACCAATAACTTTTGATAAGAAATAAATACTTAATTCCCAAATGGTGTCTGCTGTACTTAAAGGTTTGGCAAGTTTTCAAGAAGATAGGCATGAATTCCACATTAAATTGCTGCTGCTTCTGTGGAAAATAGTGAGCGGTGTCATTTGATCAGGGACAAAGTGACTATTGAGAAGGGGTGATTTTGAGGAAGTAGCTTTTACTAATAAAGAAATAAATGCCATTTCTCATGTGAAACCATCCCCATACGTGAACCTGTAAAAATGCGGGTAGGAACAAACTGTTTCCCTAGAAATTCTCATTAGTTGCCTTTTTGCTCATTGCTGCTAGTGGTATTCTTGCCCACCATTTTGTCTTGTGAAAATGCCTCCCTGTGTTCCCTTGCAGTGCCCCTTGCATAAGAAGCAGAGAAGCAATCACAAGTATTGATCGCATTGTCTGTACTGAACTGAGGGGAAGATTGTTGCATGAATGAATGGAAGTCAGTACAAAATTACAGTCTTTAATGATCTGTTTTTCTGGTTTGACCAGGCCTGTGCTATTCAATGCAGTTCAGTTTTTCTTTATGGTAGCACAATCTAATAACTCGAGCAGATTTTGACATACTACACTGAACTGAACCAAGTATCTCAAGATTGCTCAACCAGACACCTGAGAGACTTGCGTTTTGTAACTTTGATGGAAACAATTTCCCACGAAGAAGGCTTTTGCTGTGCTATCTGCTCTGAGATGAAGATATTCCTAGAGCTGCCTGATGGTGAAGGCTCTCACTGATTTTTGCTGGCAGCTGTACCTACCATTTTTTTTAGAGTCAGATCCTGAATATGTAAGAGCTGTCTAAAAGTGGTGATGGTAAACAGACTTTGACATTACTGCACTCCCTGAACTGCACATATTGTCTCTTGACAGGAGCATTTCACTCTTTTTGAAAGTGCCATAGCACACGTCTTTGAACCGAGGCACACTAGAGATTCAGCTGTGGTTTCTGTGCATCGAAGAGCCCACTGCAGCTCTTTGGTCTGTCTTCCCCTGTTACCACAAAAGTTTTGCCCACTGATTCCACTCTTCTGTGAGAGATCATCTTGGGTGTCTGAGGTTAAATATTTGATGACTACACCAAATCCTCCAATGCATAATTATGCTGTGTCATGTCTCTTCAAAAGCAAAGCCAAAATCCCATAGCAGCTAATAGTCGGTCCTGAATTAGCAGTTTTTTTGACAGTATAATCCACTGGCTATTTACCCTCACAGTTAAAACCCATGTTCTTTTTTCCTATGACTTTTGTCCCCTAATATGTCCTCTAGTAATATACAATTATCAAAAGATTAATTTAGAATGCATTCATAACTTACAATACTACAAATGCTTGCACTCCTTTTGTGATGTATGACAGCAGTCTAATTCCTACCTTTCTCAAGTTTAATTTTTCGTCTGTGTGGAGGCAACATTGCCTGTGCAGTGGTTTCACCATAAATTGCTTTCAAGTAGACATAGTCATTTCCCATAACCTTTCTCAATATGTATATCTCAGCTGCTTTCAGTAAATATTTTCTATCTCAGGATTTTTTTGTGGAGGTAGTTTCTCCTTTATAATCGTCTTGTTTCGATCTAGTTAAAAATAACATTTTGGGTTTGGGGCATATTTTGGGGGGGGTTGTGTGTGTCTGTCTGCATCCCAAATTTAATCTTTTATTGTGTTAACTAAATTTGCAGTTTCCTCAGGTAATTCAGTAATGATTTATTTCTAGTTTTATTGTAATTCTTTTTTCTCAAATAAGGATCACTGATTATTCTTTAATTCATTTTAAATGCTCACTTACTGGCAAGGGATTAAATACGAAATCCATTTTGACTTATCAGTATGAGTGATGTTGTGTTTCTTCTTTTTTTACCCTGGGTTTTCTCTCAGGTTGTTTACATTTTCTGTTTACCTGGAATGAGTAAGTTACTGTTTAAGCATTTCAGAAAAATCCAGTATGTGTTTTTTAGCTGAATAAAGTCATGTGACTTTTCTGGTGTAGAATGTATCTTTGCAGATGTCTGAATGTTTAAACACAGCAGTTTGGGTTATGTAGCGTAATAAAATATAAACTGTAGGTTATTTTAGTTGTGTGACTAAGCAAACTAAACTTCACGTGGGTTTTGCAGTGCACTGAGACGAACAAGTCAAAAGGTACTCATCCTGCACATCAGTGCAACAATAGATCATCTACTGTAGAAGCCTGTGGTGTTGATCTTGATCTGTAATATCGCAAGCAAGCCTGACTGCAGAATATCCCACAGCAGTGAATGTTAATGGAGGAAAGAGTGGAAAATGCTTAAATTCTCAATTTTGAGGAGCACAAATAGCAAGATTATTGGAGTCTGTCTTGCAGTGTATATTTTGACTGTTATTAAATCTTAACTCTTAATCCATGTATTATTTATTCTATTTATTTACACTGAAGATTTGTCTTCTGCAGTTGCGTGGCTAATGGCAATCTTGCGTAGTTCATTTCAGTGTGAAGATACCTGAAGTAGATGAGTTATTCTTGTTTTTTTCAGCTGGGAAGAAAAATACGTAGTGTGTATTGTGGTGGGGTGTATATGCAGTCTTTCTTTATGGACCAACTTAAAATAAGGTGCCTGCATATGTTCATGTGAAATTGTGGTGATTTAAAATACACACATCAAATACAGTCTTTGAGTGTTCATTGGTTAATTAAGCTAAGGTAGGGCTTGAGAAGTAGATTGAAATGAGTGTGCTTCTGAATGTATTTTTAGTTTTTAAAACAACTTCAAATTTTAGGAAATGTTAGCATTATCACAGCACCCCTTTGCTGTTTCTCAAGATGCTAAGGCATCACCATGCTTGAAGTGATTTAAATCTCTTTGCTGCCGGTGTTGCCAACACCTGTTTTACTGAAGCTTCTAGGTTAAATGTAAATGTGCTATGTTAAGTGCTGCTTCTGTCTAAAAAAAAGAAAAGACAAGACATGTCTCTTCATTGGAAAGGGCCTTTGCTTAAGTGACAAGCCAGTGCTGTCTAGCACTGCTTGCAGAGAGTTTCAGTGAAGGATAGGCTTGGTGTGGCTTTTTCCCACCCAGCTGGATAAAAATCCAGACCTTCTGTTTTCCTTCTGAATTCAGGTTTTTGTTTGCAGTAGTTAGCTGTGTTAGGGTTTGTCAGGTCAGGTACTGACATAAGCAAGGATGGCACTGTGGTGGTTTTCTTCTCTTTTTTTTTCTTTTTTACCCCCCCCCCCCCCTTCTGTGAATGAATATTAAACCAAGAAAATTAAGACTACTTTCCAAACATACCTGGGTGCACCTTGGGCTGTGTTTGTTTCGTTTCCAGGTGTTATTGTTGGGTATGATGGTGAAATATACCCTGTTCTGAGGCTGGATTTTCCACTGTTGAGCTCCTTGATGACAAGAATCGAGGAGGCAGATATACCACAACAAGGACTGTTATTGGTCAAATTTGATTCCAAAGTTTGATCCATTCTTAAATCTACCAAATTTCTCAGAAAACCCCTTGAGAATATGAAACTATCTATGTCATTATGGCCCCAGGCTGCTAAAATGTTCTGTGAAGTACTCTGTATAAATTAGCATGGGTGCCCCTGATAACTGCAGTGTCACTTTAAGGGATTTGTTATTCTTTTCATAATGAAAAGCATTACCTGTTTAAATAGGTGTTAGGTGTTTATTATGATTCATCTTATTAATACCTGGCTGTAAGAAATGAGGACTAATAACACTACAACATTTTTAATAATTCCTGACCAAGTATGATTAAAAGCCCTCAGCTGAGCGCTTTTCCTTTAATTGTCTGTCTTCAATTTGACTTCAAGTCTGACTGATTAATTGAAATGGAAGATTTTCAACAATTTAATTTCAGGGTCCTGAATCTATTTGGAAAGTTTATTGATGATCTCAATACAACTGCTGTGAGAGGAGTAGAGGAGCGTGTAGGCTGTATTGTCTGGACTTGGCCTCTGTAGTGTTTGAGGATATTGTGTTTGCTAAGACACCACTGAATTCAAGAGTGGCAGTATTGATTTGAGTTCTCTCTGTCTTTAAACCCAAAACTTCCAAAGTTGTAAATTTCTGTTTATCAGCCCTCAGGTATCCCAAGTCCACAGTGTAAAAATGAAAATTCGGTGCTCCCATCCTGCACCAAATTGATGCATGGTGTTTTTTGTTCAGTTTTAAAAACATCAGTGAGTGCATGAATGATCCTGATAAACTTGCCTTTCTGTCTGCATGTCTATGAATCATAGAATCATAGAATAGTTAGGGTTGGAAAGGACCTTAAGATTATCAAGTTCCAACCCCCCTGCTACGGGCAGGGACACCTCACACTAAACCATATCACCCAAGGCCTTGTCCAACCTGGTCTTGAATGCTGCCAGGGATGGAGCATTCACAACCTCCCTGGGCAACCTATTCCAGTGCCTCACCACCTATGAAGCTTGCCTGAGAGCTCTTAGAATTTGTCTTTTAAGTCCTTCTGTCCATGTTTGAATATATTGGTCCGCAATTCAATTTATATTAAAAGTCAAGTATGGTTGTGTAAAAACTCGTAAGTAATTCTCCCCACCCCGCAGCCAAAATGAAAATTCATAGTAGTTTTGTAACTTTGCATTCCTGGTTGCACAACCTATAGTTGCATATGTTCAAATTCAAAAGAAAATGACTTGCATAAGTTTATCCAATAGCTTGCTTTGCCATCAGACCAACTCAGTAGCCTGCTTGGGAAATAGCCCTGTTCTCAAAATAAAAAAATTGGAATAAATATAAAGTTTGGAATGTTGGATTTCATTCTTTGCTTTTAAAAATAAAATTGCACCAGATCGTGTCTTACATGCCTGTCTTTAGGGTGTCTTAAGTTTTTGAGTGTTTTGATTGGCAGGCTGGCCTGGAGAGTGGGAGTTTCAGAGCTGTGCACCCTTAGGCTAGGTGTCTATAGCTGCCACTTTTCCACCACTTCTGTGTAACACTGAGCAACTTTGGACCAACTCTTCAAAAATGGTTGTGTTTTGACTATCTATTGTGAATTATCTGAACCTTGGGAGTCTCATTGGGAGAACTGCTGAGTGCTCAAAGGTGCAACAGAATCTAGTGTTGAATGTGTTTTGAACATGTTACTGAATTGTAAATATTCGAAGAGTGCTGCTCCCAGGCTGTGTGTGTTGGGCAATCAAAATTAGTTGGTCCTTTTGACCTTCAGTTGGTCTTAGTATTTTAGTTCCTGTTTTAAAGTTAAGGAGATGACATTTTACCTTGGAGGGCTTCTGCATGGGATTCTTCAATGCCTGTGAGGCAATGAGGTGCTGGAGTGCTGTGTCTTATAGAGAGAGCACCTGACAGGGTATGAGATCTGCTGGCGGGTGGAATGAAGTGGTGTGCAATAAAGATGACAAGGTGTCAGGGCATGTACTAAAAAGCAGAGGTGAAACAAACTGTTGAACATCTTTCATTATATGCACTCTTACAAGGCCTTATTCTGTAGGGGGGAAGATATTTACTCATGAAATTATTAACAGCTACTTTGTAATCCGAGTCTATATGAAACAAAGGCTGCAGTGATACTAATTGGGAAAAATCCAGAGGGAATTATCTAATGCTACGGTAATTGTACACATACAGAGTAGTCCATAGCAATTACAGCTATAGGGCACAGTTTGGCCCTGTTTCTAGAATAAGATCAGAAGCTATTTGCCCTTTCTCTTGCCTTTAGTTAATTCAGTGCTAATGCATTGGTCTGGGGCTTTCGTTTGTGCTGTCTTATCTGTGGTCTTTTTCTTCATGCCTTTTTAAGTTGTGTGTTCAATTGTAGGTAGATTCCACATTCTCTTTACAATGGCTAACATACAAAGTGTTCAGTAGCTCAATTTAGAATGATAGAATAGTTAGGGTTGGAAAGGACCTTAAGGTCATCTAGTTCCAACCCCCCTTCCAGAGAAATAAAGAAACTTAACCAGAATTGCATCTCCATGTATATTTGGCAATGTATATGTGATTTTTATTTCTTTTACTCCCTTTCACCTTGCTGCAGGCATTAGCACATGCAAAAAGGGTAGACTAAGTGCAGTATAGAGTTTCTGCTTATTTTGTACATGTGTAAATTATATAATGCAGGGTGCAAGATAACAGAGACCTAAGATTTATACCTTTTTATACAATTACCTACACTGCTGTCAGGTCAGGAGAGTGTGCCTTGTATTGTACATCCCCTGTACTAGAAAATCATTAACATTTTCTAATATTATAATTTCCTGGCAGTGTTCAAGGGTAGGTTGGATGCGGCCTTGAGCAACCTGGTCTAGTGGCAAGTGTCCCTCCTCATGGCAGGGGGGTTGAAACTAGATGATCTTAAGGTCCTTTCCAAGCTTTATTATACTGTGATTATGTAAAAACTTATTATAAGGTATGCACCCAGCAGCTAGGTTTATAGCCCTCACAGAAAGAAAAAAAGTTCCAACAGGTTATACTTGCACTATGTCAAAACAGGTAAATTGTTCTGCATTTTTAAACTGTGGCGGGCTTTGTACTTACTAAAGGAAGTTACACATTTGCTGCAAAAGTATATGCAGACTGTCTCCTGTTTTCAGAGGCAGACTTTGTTCTATGTTTTCTAAGAAATAGTATGATGGATGAATAAAATTAACATTTAAGATATTTCTGTTAGTATCTAGCATGACTGACATAATAAAGTTATCAATTTTATTTCTAACACAGATTAGGATTAAAAACTGCATAAAGGATATAGAAAATACATTTGCTGATTTGTGGAGCAACAGACCACCAGGGATGCATGCAAATCTGTAATGAGTGCTAAGTGAGATTTTAGCTGTGGAAAAACAGAACCATTAGGTGTACTTTTGGGTAGGGTCTCTTTGCGTTGTTCCTTTTGATGGTGCTTGCCATCTTCAGGAACATACAGCCCAAATTTGTGTTACAGGGGAGCTAAGTAAGCAAAATGGATTTGAATCGAAGGCTTTACCTCTTCGATCCATGATGTACTTTTCTAAGTGACTGCCTTAGAAATATATATATATATATATAAAATTTTTTTTTTAACCATAGTTTCTTTTCTACTCCCACCATTCTAGTGCAGACAAATATCTGTTTATGCTGGATGACAGATTGATAGGTTAAACAGTAAGTCGCAGAGGCATTCTTTCTATACACTTACCTTAGGTTTTCCTCCTAGGTGTGTAAAACAAAACTGCCAATTTTAAAAGCTCTTGTGCTGTTTATTCTGTAACAGTACCAGGGGAAGAAAAACCAAAACAAAACCCAAAACATCAGGGCAATTTAGGAGATGGTATAGATTCAATTAATGTATTTCCACAGATTCATGGCTAGTTATGCTGTCTTGGAATAGATTTTGAGAAATTCTTTGCCTCCAGACAGTTTGCTGTCACAGCAGCTCTAATTCTTCCAAATTGACTCATGTCAAAAAGTTAGTCTTAAAATCTTGTCCCGTCTGCCAATTTCTCAACATTTTTCAGGAAACGCTTCCCAAGAGTGTTGTTACAGTCACCCTAGTGTGCTGGATAAAAGGACTTTGGCTGTCATTTGGACACTTGCCATCTGGAACGTGGGGAGAATTACTGTCTCTAATATGGTAAATGCTGGGAACCTCAGCGGAAGATGTGGGCCCTGTTTGGGCTAGCGGATTCATTTAAAAGGAGGAAGGAAAAAAAAAAAGAAAAAGGTGTACTTACTGTTTTTTAGAGCTTGCAATTCACATTGTAGAGAATAGATTGACTACACTAAAGGTAAGGATGAGATAATAATAAAGCAGAACTGAGGAAAAGTTATGGCTTACCACAGAGTAAGAAGTGAACTGTCTTATGAAATTGACAGCTGAGATAGGTTTCTTTGTCCAAGTCATAATAGGAGAAAACCCCTCCATGATAAATAGCTTTTGAATTGTTATTTTACTTGTTCAGATGGTATTTTTACACCACAAAAAACCAAAACAAAACCAAAAAAAAACCAAAAACAAACTCTTAGTTTCTGGTTAACCCAGGAGGGACTCTAAAAGCAAAACTCCCTTCCTGTGATGTGTGATAGTGTTTTATGGAGAAAACTAGGTTCTGTAATTCCCATCTGTTCTTTAGCACTGGCAACTGCTAGACAATAACTCACCCTCCTGTTAAGTGTAGCAGGTCCCTTGATTTACTGCCCATTTCTGTCCCAGGTTTGAGTCCAGCTGGCTATGCAGGCTCTAAGAGAGTACTGAAGGAGAAAAGCTGCTACTGCTGCTAGCAGCGGAAAGATCTGCAGGACGTCTTGTGAGAATGGGTACTTTAGCAAGCTGGTGTTATTTTTCTGGCAGAATTTTCAGATAGCTTCTGCTTCACTGATTTCTGTTCTGACCAAGTTGTAAAAATTAGGTAACTGAAAGATTTATCTCATTAAACTAGAACTCAAATTCTATCCTATATGTAGGATAGTAAGGATTAATATTAATTCACATGCCATCCCTATCACAGTTTTTTTGAGTATGTAGGAAATTGTTATTCTAGTATGTTTTTCCTAGGTAGTATTACATTTTCAGGTTTAGAATTATTGAGCAGATAAACAGAGTGCTGGGACAATAAGACCATCTTCTCATTGTTACTGGACTTTGCTGTTCCCTGTATCCTGATTTCACCTAAATATATTTGGTTTGGAATTAAGATTTTTATTTCCTTTTTAAAGAGTTTTAATCAGAAACAAAGGCACTTACATTCCCTAGCGTTGCATCCAAAAATGGTCAGGAACTTAAAACAGTGGACTGGATGTTGAATGTTTACTGCTTGTTAAAAATCATTGAGATTTTCATAGTAAAAAGAATTATTTTTTTACTTAGGAATATTATTTTTACAAAATGTGCAAGAAACCTTGAAAACTATTTCAGAGCAAGAAAGCTGTTGTCACTGGTATCTGTGGCCCTCTAAAATCATTTTACTTACCTCTATTTTGGTTTTAATGTAGAAAAGTAAGTTTTCTTCCAGCCTTCTTGTGACCTCTCAAAGTACTTATACCATAAATTAGGAAATACACCTGAGTTTGTATTTTAGTTGCATGATGATCTGAGCAAAGATTACCATGTATCATGATACATCTGATGCATGGGTTTGTCAGGAGTCTGTTCACTGATAAAGCTATTCAGTGGAAAGGATTATAATATGATGCCTCTTCCTTTCTGTAGTGAATTTTCTAGGCCTTGTTGCAAACTAATGTAATTCGTTCTTGGCATTGCCTAGGGTAAAATTCCTTAAAAAACCTGAGTAACCTCTTCATTTGCTTGTATTGATTTCCTTTCCTTTAAAAAGGAGAGAAAGAAAGAGAAATACTGCTGCTTTCAGTACTCTGGAGGAAATATATAACATAGCAAATAATGAATGTGTATTGACAGCAGAAGCACAGATTTATATCATAGTGGGTGCTGAGAGAGAAGTTGAAGTAGCCCTTACCTTATGGGAGTCAGATAGTATATTACTTGTCCTGCAGTCAAAGTAGACTGCAGGCCCAAGTTTTCATCCCAGTTCCTTCCACATCTTTCACAAATCTGTGCAGCAAGATTGAATAAAATCATTATCCAAAAAGGGGACTTCGTATGAGAATAAGTACAGCATAGAAACAAAAACTCCTTTGTATTTTACATAATTTGGCAGGTATAGACAAGAAGAGGTACAGATTTAAAATCTGCAAAATGTAAAAATGTTGGAATTTCTTAAGTGTTAATATGGGGGTGGG